ATCCATACAAACGTATGTATGTATTCGTGTAAGCGCACGGCGTCGTCTCAATGGCGGCTTTTTTGCCATTTTCTAGCGCGATCAATTTCGTCACTTTTCTACATACCAATGTGTAAACATATATACGAATGTGCATACATACACATTACCAGACATACATGCGCTAAAAATAGCAATGGCGCCGCCGTCGAGACGACGCCGTACGCTTGCAAAAATACACACACATGTATGGATGCAACGGTATGTGTGTATAAGTTTATGCAAGAGGATCGGCGTCGACTCACATGCATTTCTATGTGCACACACACATAGTAATAAGAAAGCAGGTGCTCCAACCCAAACCCAAACAAAGAATTATAAAAAACAAATTGAGAGAGCGAGCGCGTGCCAATTCTCTGTCAATATTTTGCTCTCTTCTGCTTTGCAACCCTCGAACACGCTGCGGTAAATCTTGAATTAACTTTTATTCTTCTTGATTTTTTAAAGCTTACATTAAGTACAAATATTATTTAAAATAACATGTTTGTACTTGATTCAAGAATATTAGTATTTATTCTAAGACCTTTCAGAGCTTATTTGAAATTAAGTACGAATTATACTTTTCTCTCTGTATATAAGTCAAATTCTCACCTCAGGGGGACAAATTAGAAATGAAATACTGCGGCCGGCGCACAAAAGTGTGGAATTCAATTTGCATTGCCAGTCTGTCTGCAAAATCGAAAAATGTAAACCGTGAAAGCCCCAACGACTGCAAAATCTGCATAAAACATGTTACGAATTGCAGTCGAAACCTGACCGCGCCACAACCCCTTTCTAGCCAACATTCTGTACATTTACTGGGCTGACCAACAAAGCGGCACGCAAATGGCCACAAAATGTTCGTCTGGCATGCAATGGCCCCTAGCCCTGGGCCGGGTACGTCCATAGAGGGAATAGAGGTGGAGGGGCGGGGGGGCATTACAAGCAAGCCAAACTTTTGACTTAATTGGCCAATTGTTTGGCTGGACACAAAAAATAAAAGTTGCATATTTCATCGCGCAACGGCGTCTTGAAGGCGTTCGCACTCGGCCAGGTGGTAAATTTGAATAACTATAATTTCAACTGCCCTACGTTTAGGAGGGGGCGTGTGTCCAGCTAATTGCCGCAGCAATGAAGCATACTTAAATACCTTTTTTTTTTTTGTTATACCCTGAACCCATTACAAATGGGTAAAATGGGTATAATGTATTTGTGCAAATGTATGTAACAGGCAGAAGGAAGCATCTCCGACCCCATAAAGTATACATATACTTGATCAGCATCAACAGCCGAGTCGATCTAGCCATGTCCGTTTGTCTGTCTGTCCGTCCGGCCGTCTGTCTGTATGTAAGAACGCAAGGATCTCAGAACCTATAAGATCTGAAGACTTGAAATTTTAGCTGTAGGTCCTCCTAGTGCCCGCGCAGATCGAGTTTGTTTCCGATATTCGATAACTTGACCCGTTTCCATGTAATCGATAAAAATCGATATCGAAATCCTGTTTTTTTGGCAATTTGACATTGACATGTTGCTTCTAGAATAGTATATGTATATCTAGTATCTTTAATTTTCTACCTATCGCCTGTTGGAAGAAGAGGGTTCAGGGTATCTCCTAGTCGGGAGCTCCCGACTAGAACCTCTTACTTGTTTTTTACTGAGCCATTGCAGAGTTGTCAAGTGCATACAACTGGCCAGAGACCAGAGTCTGCAATTAGGTACACAAATTGCAGGCCACTTAAGTGAAATCCGAGCAGGGTAAGGCACTTCATTGCCAAGCAATCAGTACCATTAAAATATATAAGCACTTATAAGAGAGAGTCTTGATTGGAGTTGCTTGAAGTGTGACAGTTGGCTGCTATTAAATATTATTTATTATCTCATTTCAGGTAAACGATTCAAGGTAAGTCACTCAAGTGTTCACAATTTCCCTTTTTAAGTATTTTAAGACGCGCAAACTTTTTTGCCAGTCACGCGCTTATAGCGTGCTTTACTCAAAGACAATATTAACGCCTGTCTGTCGATCGTAGAACCTATAAGGGCTACGGAAATTTTAAACGTAAGTCCTCCTAGAGCCCGCGCAGTATAAGTTTGTTGCCGATAATCGATAATCCATTTCCAAGCAATCGATATAAATCGATATCGCTATCCTGTTTTTAAAGCAAATCTAGGTTTTACGAGCAAGACTCACGACATTTTACATGTAGCTTCTAGAATAGTCTTAACAGAACATATTTTATAGCTACCGCCACACTCTATAGTATTAATTTAAATCAAAAAATAAATTCAAAATAGTTTCAATTGTAACTAGAGTTTTCTGTTAAAAAATTCGAAAGGACTCATTACAACGTGTCTTAAGTTCATGTAAAACTCCATCCGCATTGTAGCTAGAGCTTTCTACCAATAAATTCAAAATTGTTCAAGACTCATCCCAACTTGCCTTAAGTTCATGTTAAGCCCCATCCGCATTGTAACTACAGCTTTCTGTTAACAAATTCAAAATAGTTACACTACGTGTCTCATTGCAACGTGTCTTAAGTTTACGTTAAACGCTATCCGCATTATAACTAGAGCTTTCTGCTAATAAATTCAAAAAGTTATACTTCATGACTCATTGAAACGTTCTTGAAGTTCATGTTAAGCGCCATCCGCATTGTAACTATAGCTTTCTGTTAAACGCAAACTTAAAATGACTCATTGCAGCATGTTTTAAGTTCATCTTAAGCCCCATCCGCATTGTAACTATCCTTATCCTTTATCCTTGATAAATGAAATGCAAATTTACAATGCTTGCTTTAGTTTTGTGAAGCGTTCATATTTTTAATTTTGTACACATACAAGCTATATTTGGCGCTGAGCTCATGCCAATCAATCGCCGGCCAGTGCACCGTGCCCCGACAAGGCTGCCTCCAGTTAACATTTGGCAATTCTTTTTACGCCGGGCAGTTGACTCAACTCAATAGTGTAACGAGCTGCGACTTTAATGCCTTGTATGCGGACGGACAGAACATATATAAATAATTTACATTTCGCATGGTCACGCACAAATCATGTGAGGGAGGCACAGACAATGCCGACAATACGAAGCCTCCGCCACACTCCAGCCATGTTTGTGCATGGGTCTGGGAGGAAATTGTGTTGGGAATTGGGTTGGGTTTGGGCCTGGATTTGGGTCTGGTGCTGCATGATGCGTATAAAAGTGACAGTTTAACATGGAAACACACTCAAAATGTTAATTGATATGCAAGGCGAGGCGGCAGTGGGGCAGACTACAAAAGTTTTTCTGCCTTTTTTTTTTAGCAGGCGTTGGCAATGAAACTGTTGGTCATGACTGTGAAAATCCATTGCAGCTTTATCGATGTCCTTTCTCAGCTGTCATTGTGCTCAGTATGAACTACTTGCAAATCAAAGATCATAAAGTTGTCGCGATTAAACATGTTAAGCGCAAGAATCATGTATACAATTTATGTACATACTAGCAGATGTTACCCGGTCTTGTCCGGTTCAAGTGCTTTTCTTTCAATTTAAGTTATCACGAGCCTTTGAATTTGATTGAATAAAAAAGCAAAAAATGGCAGTCTGTTCCGACTATTCAAAATCGATCGATTAGGGTGTTTTGTAGAGCTTTGAATAAGAGTTTGAAGCTAATTGAAACAAAAATTTGCCTGTGTGCATTTTTAAATAGATATTCAAAAGCTACTCCGTAGTATTTCGTTTTGCTATCGCTATCGCTCTCTCTTTGAACAGAGACGTAGCAGAGCCAGAGCCGAAAAATAAAAAAGCAATTGCTGTGCTCTGCTTGTAGCTTTGTCGCGTCATTGGCTAAACATAGCAATAGCAATAGCAAACAAGTAAGAAGTTCTAGTCGGGTGCTCCCGACTAGATGATACCCTGAACCCTCTTCTTCCAACACCAAATACAGTTCGCGCTACGCGCTCCCTTGCTTTAGCAGTAATAAAGATATACAAAAAAAAGTTCCCTTGGCAGGATTCGCCTCTACCCAACAGCCACACCAATACTTAAGTCTTAATGAGAAAAAACGAATTAAAATAGCAGCACAGAAAACAATACAATCGCAATTGCAATGCAGTTGATAGAAATCAAATAATACACGCATGAATGTGTGTGTACGTGTATACTGAAATTCTTGGAATTTGCGCTAGCTGCTGCTAACACGTGCGCACATAACTTTTGTGTTTCTTAACCGATCTTAACGAAATTTTCGGTAGCACATCTTATTGTACTATAAAATATTCGTGTATTCTTACAATGACAATTGCACTTAAATTGTGGCTTATAATGGCGGGAAGCACAAATTGGTATATTTACTTGATTTATAGCTATGAGGAAGTAGCGGGGAGGTGGGGATAGCTAGAAAATTAAAGATACTTGATATATATATACTATTCTAGAAGCTACATGTCATGTTTGGTGACTCTAGCTCTTATTATTTACTAAAATTGCGAACGCTGGTATAAATCTCGCAGGCAATCAAAAAAATTGCCACAAATGTTCGTAAGCTTGCGTGTAGATTTTTCAAAACTCTATCTTTGTATTTATTGACATCACAAAGGGCAACTACGGTGCACAGTTAAGCTTCCTTGATTTTATAAAATAAAACAATGTGTCGATAGTTATGTTAGCTATGTGAGTCTATACGAGCACAAGTCTGTCAATCAATCACTCAGTCAGACGGTCAGTCAATATTAGAAAATATCAGTAGAGATTATTATTTTATTATATTTTATTTTTTTTAGTATTAATCAATCTTTGTGTGCGTGTTTAATTGTGGGTACTATTGTTTTGTTTTCTAAGTAATTTTATTTTATTCCCAAAATACGCTTTCAGTAATGTTTGAAAAGGCGGGTGTATGTTCTGTCAGTTTTTGAATAATTCCGCATTGCGCGCTCTTCTTTTTGGTATTTTTTATACGCTTGGTAATTTGCGGGGGATTTTACTTACTTTAAGCAAACGGTCACACTGAACTCCTATCAAACGGACTCAACAGCTGTTATCTTGTTGTTCTGCTGCTGCTCAGGTGTTTTTGCTTTATTTATCTCTGATCAATGAGAATGAACATCGATCAGCTAAATGACGACTGCCTGTGCATTATATTGGAATACTTGACATTGCCAGACCAAATCGCAATGGCCCGGAGCTCGTTGCGGTATGAGGAGCTGCTCGCCGAAATTGTGTGGCGCAAGCCGCGTTACCGTGAGGTATCCATATCGGATGATATGCTGGCGCCACTGAACAAGGAGGATTATATATACTTTTTCGAGCTGACCAGCACACACATGGAGAAGCTGTACATCTGGAATGTGCATGACAAGGCGTTCGATTCGTATCTGGGACGGCATTTGATGCGTCCCGACCTGGACTTCTATCTGTGCCTTAACCTGAACAATCTGCGCGAGCTATGCGTCACCGATAATTACATGAACAACAGCATGATACAGAACTTAGCCAAGAGTTGTCCACACTTGCAAAGCCTGAGCGTGTCCAGCGCCTACATAACGGGCATGTTTATGGTTGGCCTGCAAAATCTACAGACGCTTGTGGCCCGGGAATGCTCCATCGAGGCCGAACACCTGACCGAGCTGCTGGCACAGCTGCAGCTGACCACACTGGACCTCACGTCCAATCGATACAATTTGGAGCAAACCATACTGGAAGCGCCCGCCGCTGGCCTGTTACGTTTGCAGCGTTTGGGCATCTCTGATGCACAGGACTGTGGCTTTCGCATCGCTGAGCAGCTGCCACAGCTGAAGGAGCTGGTTGTCAGCTATCATGGTGTTATGGCGAAGGTTTTGCATGATATGCTAGACACAACGCGGCAACTAGTCGAGTCCTCGGATACGAAATTCCCAAAGCGCCTGCAATCGATTATGTGCAATGTGGTCGATGTGGAAGTGGCCCTAGAGCAGATAACTGGCCTGGAGACGCGCTGTCCACGCGAATCTCCCAAGTTCTGTGAGATTTTAAAGATAATTTACAAATGCAAATAGGCCATCAAATGTTGCTACTCGGTAGCTATTTTTAGATCAATGCATTTGGCATTCTAATATTGGCATGAAGTGCATATATATGTACAGTGGAAGCTCGCTTAGGCGGTTATCTAAGGCTAAAGTTTTCTGCCCTCTGATGTGATTACATAAGTAGTAAAAAGACAACAAAACATACACTCAAATTTTACCAAGTTTTTACCAAAGTTCTTTAAGATAAATAAAAGACGAATATATAAAACTACTATTATGATAAAAAAACACAAGTAAGAAGTTCTAGTCGGGAGCTCCCGACTAGGGGATACCCTGAACCCTCTTCTTCCAACAGGCGATAGGTATAAAATGAAAGATACTTGATATATTTATACTATTCTATAAGCTACTTGTCAAGTTTGGTGATATTAGCTCTTATTATTTACCAAAATTGCTCAAAAAACAGGATTTCGATATCGATATCAAACTCGATCTGCGCGGGGACTACGAGGACCTTCAGCTAAAATTTCAGTCTCTAGCTCTTGTGGGTTCCGAGATTCTTGCGTTCATACATACGGACAGACGGATGGACGGACAGACGGACGGACGGACAGACAAACGGACATGGCTAGATCGACTCGACTGTTGATGCTGATCAAGAATATATATACTTTATGGGGTCGGAGATGCTTCCTTCTGCCTGTTAAATACATTTGCACAAATATATAATACCCTGTTTACCCATTTTCAATGGGTTCAGGGTATAAAAACAGCGATTCGATTGATTCAAGATATCTTGCTGCCATTTCGTATCCAGATTTGTTTGTTGTCCGCTAATTACATCTCTTACCAAAGAAATTATAAACACCCAGTTCACATTGGAATGCGGCGCTGAGTGACTTATTGTTTTTCGAAAAGCCACACGAACGTATGCAGATGGCATTTTATTGATGCTAGTCGCCAGTTTCCACCTGGTTAAGCAGGTCGATGCTTTGGAGCACGATTGGTGTTTAATATTTTTGCTGAGTTCGTTATATGTGTGTTTTATATGAAAGATATATTATCCAAGAAGTACAGTTTTTTTATTTTAAATTCAAGTTTTAAAATAAAAGTGCATGTTTTGTTATTATCTGCATTAGCTTAGGCTTTCGTAAAAATTACTAAAAGTTTCAAGATGACAGCTTTATAACTAAGAGACTAGTTTGCATAGAAATAGACAGACGGACAGGTTGAAAGACGGACTCGGTTGTTGATGCTAATATATACTTTAAGGAATATATCTCCTTCTATGAGTTCCACATTCCATGACAAAATTATTATACCCTCTACAAGGGTAAAAAAAAAACAAAATTGCAAATGTTTTGCTTCGATATTCAATGAAATTTCGTTGAAAGCATCGGCATGGAATCTATATTTTTCTGTTTCTAAAATTGTTATAAATATTTGTATAACGAGAACAGCAAATTCTTTTGGCTTATAGAACATTATGGCTAAAATATCTTGCTGCTTTTGATCAAGGTGTTTGCATATCCGGCATCTGTATACTCTAAAATCCCTACCCAATTCTTTGCTGGTTTCGCAGTGTTGGCTTCTGCCATTACACAATCGTAATGCTCAATATTTTGTTCATTAAACTATTCTAATTCTTCTATCACATTCACATTGTCCGCACATTAAAAATTACTGTCAATCATAAAATATATAAGCGAAACTGAGAAAACATTCTCATTTTTTAAGCATTTGTCGCTCTTTAGATAAGCATTGAGAGACATAGAGTCTGGATTCCGATTATGTTCTCGCGGCATTCGCCTTTACTCATTTCATCATCAGTGTTGTCTTTGTTTTATTCTCAACGCGATAAATATATAGCAAAAGTTTGTTAGTCTGTGAAAAAGTGAACAGTCAATGCTTAATGTATAAAAATTAGTATGTCCATTTATTAATATCCTTTTATGGGTAATTAAAGCAACATGCAATGTTAACAAGAAAATGTAAGCAATTCGTTGAAGTGAAAGAAAATTTCAAAGCTGTATAATAAGTGGACTCAAATATGAGAACAGTACGCCAGAGAAAATGCCAGTTACAAGCATGGCGGCGGCAAACATGCCAGCGGTTATTTGATATTTAACATTAACCGTCTGTGGTGCATACATCATGCCCAAGGAACTTAGATAGCCGGAGCTATATGACATAATAATCGCAATGATCCAATATAACCAATCGTTGGTAATAACAACTGGTAGAGTTCTAACAATGTCTCTCGGTGCATAATTACAGAAAATCAGTAAGGGTATAAAAACGACACGTAAAACTACAGGCACAACCAGAAATTTAGGTCCGGGCCATTGTATCCAGGAAGTGGTCAAGCTTCCCAGCATCGCGAACACATTGAACGTTAGGAAACAGGTTAGTTGTGTGAAATACTTTTCGCTAATTATAAAATCATCGGAACGCTTGATATCCGAGTGGACGGCTGGAAAAACAGCTAATGTAACAAAGAAGGTGAAAAATATATTAAAAAGCTGTGGCGAAGCTTTCTTAAATATTTGCCAGTACGGAACATTTAACTGGGTGTTCGACTCCGATTTCTTTTCGCTGCTCAACATTTCATAGTGCTTGAAGAATTTGTTTAAAGGCAGCGCGAAATACGTGTCAAAGCAAAAGAGTAAAATTAAAATTGCAGTTAAAAAGTAATATATAGCCGATGTACGCATCGAGGTGAAAAACGTAGCACACAACATAGACATAATGGTGGCAAAACATCCGCTTATATTTGATCCCAAAACTACAGCACCCGTATATTTGGGAGGTAAGGCCGCAACGAGTCCATAAATCGTGCTCTGATAGATTCCGTTGCACTGAAAATAGAAAATTGTAAAGTTTAAACAAAAATGAGAGTTGTTTTAATTGTGCTGAAGATTAAATACCCTGCATAGTGGAGCTTAATAGTCGGATGTTGCTCATTTATTACGATAATAGCTAATAACTGCTAAGATTGATGAAGATGTGTTGTTGATTAATAGCCTGATTTCATTATGCTCTAAAATGTTACATTCGCATTGTTGACAGTGGAATTAAGCTATAACATACGATTTTTTCATAGAAAAACTCTAATAGATATATGTTGGGCAGCGGTATAACGTTGTTTTTCTCAGACAGATCTATTCCAGTCGATCTGGATCGATTTAAAATAGATTGCTGAGACACAGACCGACTAATAATTTGTATTCTTTATGGAAATGAATATGTCGCCTCCTATGCGGTAAATTATAATATCCCCCGCACGTGCATGATTAATTTCAGGATTCATCCGGACTCACCATGTTTATAAGCACAATGGAAGACATTGTTGTCCAGAAAAATATGCCAGGCCACTATTTCGAAATAGATAAATATAAATGAGGTTTCCATAATAAGTAAAAGAACATGAGCTTACCTCGGAGGAGTCCACCATGGCGAGCACTACAGTTATTATCAGTATAACTAGTTCGAATAGAATGCTAAATACAATGCGGGTGGTCAGATCACCTCCAAAATTCATGAATATGTTGATCCAATTGAAGAGTACGTTCGGAATTTGTGAAGCGAAGCCCATATTCTGCATAAAGTTCCCCCTGTAATTTACCTCACTTTTAACTGTGTAGTTTTCACCCAACTTGAAATCCTCAAAATATGATTTCGCTGTAATAAACATATTCCAGGGCATTAGGGTGCCCAGCCCATGCAGCACAAAGATGAAGAAAACTAGCTTATATTTATCCTCTGGCGGCTGTAGGGTTGATACAAATTTTGACATCATGGAGCCAGATCCTTTCCCATTGGGGTCCGCTTTCATTTGGGACTCCCATGATGGATTCAGTTTCACTGGCCGCTTTTCATCAATGAAAGGCGACTCTTCACCTTTTCGGTTTGCCATTGCGCTTTTTCGGGTGGTTGCTTTGAAAGGCGGGCTCGGCTTTAATTAACTGTTAATTGTTAGGTTAGCAACAGGTTCCACGGGTTCCACGAGCTTCAAGCTGTTACCAAAACCTGGTCAGGTAATGTTTTAACTGATTATAGGCAAGAAAGGGCACTTCTAAAATCTTAGATAAAGATTGAACTCGATTATTTATAGAGTCTATGGAAAGATTAGTTGACAAGCGCGTGGGTAACCCAACACAGATAACATTTGCCAGGGTTTCAACAGATTCAGAACTTCGTCGGCTCGTTCCGACAGAGGACCATATTCTAGTTAATAAGAGCAAACAAGTAAAAATAAAATGTCAATTTTTTTTGTTATCATTCCGTATATTATCCTTATACCTATATGAAACTTGTACTTTTTCTTATCGAATTTCTTAAATTTCGTTTGGTACAAGAACTTCCTTTAGAGGGAACCATTTTTTATGTAGTACCAAAAATCGACGCTAAGTCACCGCCGCTAATTTAACGCACGTTCATTTTCTTTATATCGGAACTAAACAGTGTCGCCCATCGATATTTATTGATATTTTTGTAATCCTATCGAATCGTTTTTGTATGGGATTAAGTTGCAATGGCATCCATACAGTTGGGCGATTATATTGTTATTCAGCGTCAAAAGTACACGAAATTGCAAAAATTTGGCAGTCTTGATGCGACAGCCACATTGGGTAAGGAGCATCTGGAGCTGAAGTCGCTGCTGGATCAGCCGTATGGCTCCACGTTCAAGATGTGCGTCAAGGAGTCGAAGGTGGGCAAACGTGGCGCCCAGCGGCAGCACAGACTCGAGCTGTGCACCGAAAATGAATTGCGCAGCATACGGGATGTACTTAACATTTCCAGCAGTGGAGCCGACAATCGGGACATCAGCGACAATGGCGAGGCGCAGGCCCTCAAGTCAGCGGTATGTAGGGCTCAGGTTTACCTCGTGTTCTTTCAAAAAAAGAAGAGAAGAAAACAAACAACAACAACAGCAACATTCACTTGCAGGACATTGAGCAGCTGCGAGAGGAGTGCAACGAGTCCAGCAAGATAATTGAAAAGCTGGTGGAGAACTCGAAAACATTTCACACACGCACCGAGTACTCACAGGACAAATATCTGCTGAAGAAGGAGAAAAAGTACTTTGAGTTTGTCCAAATTCGCCAGCCCAGCATACGTCTAATGGCCGACATATTCCATCGACAGGATGCTGATAAGATAATGGGCATACGTGTGGATACGCTCTCCCAAATTATCTCATACTCGGGTGTCTCTGGCTTTGGCAGCTATTTGTTGTACGAGAGCGGCACAAATGGCCTCTTGCCAGCGGCCATGCTGAACTCCATGGGTGCCGGCACAGAGGCAACTCTTGTACACATGCATCCCGGCAATGTGCCACAAAAGCAAGCCCTGCTGGCCCTCAAATTGCCACTGGAACAGCAGCAGCGCTGCATCTCAGTTAATCTGTACTCGGTGCTGCGTGAGTTTTATCAGGGCGACAAGCCAGAGCCGAAAACAGAAGCTCTCACAGAAGCAAAGACAGCGGCGTCAAACAAGGAGACAGCGGAGCTAGTGTCTCCCACAGATGACAGCGATACCAACACGGAGGAGCAGAGCGACAACATTGAGCCCAGCTCCAAGAAGGTCAAATTGGATGAATCGTCAAACTGTAAGCAATCTATATCTAAGGCTGTTTGTCCTGAATAACTTAATTGATTGATCGTAAGAGGAAAATCTTTTACAGTAGTGAAAGAACCGTATTCAAAAATGCCCCCGCAAATATCGAAATTTTTTTCGAAAATGGGTGTATAAAACAATTTACTTACTCTTGTAATTTTGCCATCGAACGTATAAAGGACACAAGGGAACATCTCCAACCTGAAAATCAGACAATATAAATACTAAGTTAATTAACATGATCTCACATTCATAATCACCAATTCAGCAATTCAGCATCGACCAGGTTTGCCAGAGGGAGTCTGGGGACTGACCATGTTGCTAGCACCAAAAAAATGCGTTCGGCAAGCGTTCTAAAGCGCTGGAAAACTAACAAAATTTATTTATTTGCCAGCCAAAGCTAGAGCAGTGACTAACAACACATATGTATATACATATTTTGATGTTGTAATGCATGCATAATTCACACATACAAACATTTGTGCTTGCACGCCATTGGCTGAACAAGAACTTCTCTCGAGCACACACTGTCCAAAAACAAAAGTGAAATCAATCTATGTGTGCTATTTTCCTAACATTGTTATTGCACAAGATGCGCTTTGTGAAAATATTTGTTTTATTCTTAAATTTTCCTGAAAAATTTATCTATCTAGGGTAATGAATCATTAAAGGAAAGCATGCATTTCATGGATAAAGCAAAAAGACTTTGCGTCGATCGTAAGTTTAACGAAAACGAAGCGACGCAAATCACCATCGACCAGCTTTGCTAAAGGCAGGCTGGCGACTAACTTCGTTGCTCGTGCCAGCGCGACTTCGGCATTCGTCGCATGCAAATGTATGATCGTTACTCATCTTAGTGTTTACATTGTCTTTACTAATACATTAGAGCTATACCGAGAACTACAAAGAATCAAAATATTAGCATGTTCGCAATTGCAATTCTGCTCTACGGTATACCCTGCACCTTCTAGCCACAAAAAGAAAGATTGATCTGTATACAAGCAACTTGTATTATGTGGCATACGGACGGACAGACAGACAGACAAGCGGACATGGCATAATCGACTCGGCTTTTAATGCTTATCAATAATATATATATTTGGATATTCTTTCTTCTGCCTGTTATAATAAATGCGGCGTATTTTGCAATTTTGGAAAATCACTTGCGAACTGTGCGAAAAAAATTATTGGCTGGTTGTCAATCAAACGAATGATATATTTCAATTATCTTTTGATTTTTCTTAAAGCAAATAAATCTGGGCCGTTGCGCTGGCAACTGGAAAATAAACGCGCCGTTGCACTGATGAATGCAAAATTCGATAGCCTGGTGATGGCTGCCAAGGAGCATCCTTCGAATATATTGCAGGCATTGCTGCCGCTGCTGAAACCCTCGCGACCCATTGTAATCTTCAGCACGTGCAAGGAGCTGCTGCAGGAAACCTTTATGGAGCTGAAGACAACCGGCAAGGTGACCAACCTGCACGTGACCTCCAACTGGATGCGCATGTATCAAATACTGCCAAATCGCTCCCATCCCGAGGTCAACATGAGCGGCAACAGTGGCTACCTCTTAACGGGCTACACACTGAAATAACTAAAAATCAACTAAGGACCAGCTGGCAAGGATGACACCAGCAAAAAAAAATAGTTATTTAGTTAGTTAAACGACAACTAGGTAATATGCAGAAACAATTAACGACAATACAGTATAAGCTCGCTTAAGCGTACAGCTTGACAGCTTAAAGTTAAAGAAATAGTTTCCCATTTTGTATTCGAAATGGTTTGAATGTATTTCATATCATTCAATGATCAGAATCTATTTCAGATCCAAAGAGCTTCAAATGGTCGAATACAATTTGGCAAGATAAAAACTTTACGACTCCAAAGCTGTTTCCAGATTCCTTGCTTTTAATTTGCGTATATTTTTCATGAATTATTTTTGGACTAAATGAACCTCCCTCTACCTGCCGGATAAGCTACCGTTAAATTGAAAGCTGATCTGTGCGTATCATAGAATCATCCACTATACCACTTTTATTTACATTCAATGTCATTAACTTATCCTCTGTATAAATGCGATTTTTTGAAACAGACGGACGGGCGGACAGACATTGTTAGTTGGACTCTGTTGTTAACGCTCAGTAGTAACGGGTCGGAGATGCTTCCATTATACCCTTTTACCCATTTTCAATGGGTACACGTTATAAATGGAGAGATCCAGACAAGTCAGCTGTGCTTCGAAGAGAGCGCTGCTCACTGTATGCCAATAAATAGATGTCTAATTTTGGATAATATCATGCAATGTTTTATGAATACTATTTAGGTTTCGATATGTGTTCTTTTCTGTAGATCAGTTCAATGTGTTTGTTGGCGTGTGAATTTGGTTGTGTACGAGTATTTATTATGTATGAGCATTTGTTGTGTGTGTATTCGTTGTGTGTACGTTGTGTGTAGATACAGCGCTCCATTTGTCCCGTGCTCCGATTCAAATAGCCGGCACATTCTTTAGCACATAATAATGTCCGCATTCGCAGCGCTTGGGGTTGCCCTTCTCCAGCCACATCCACTTGGGTGCACGATCGCCCAGGCACAAGCAGCCCACGAGGCGACCATCAAATGCCGATGGTATGACCGTCGGATCATTCTCTCTGCCGGCGCCTCGCTTCATGGGTCTCTTCATGGCCCACGGATCGTTGCAGCCCGCCTGGCGTAGCATTAGCTCGCGCTTGAAGATGCCCGTGGCCAGCTCCATGTCATCGGTCAGCTCTATGGCAGTCAAAGCAGCTGCATTATGCCAGACCAAGATCTGCGCCTGTTTCTCACTCACCTTTCTTCAAGACCGGAGTTGTGGATATGGCACGCGTGCCGCCACCCTCCTTGACCCCAAAGATGCCGAGCATACGCTTCAAACCGAGCTGACGCAGCACTGCACCGAGCTTCCCCTCGCCGCGTTGCGTCAATTGCGAGACGAGACGCTTGGAAGCGAAAGGAGATTTGAGTAGTCGCGAGATGAAAGACGACATCTTGACTTTTCAAATTTGTTTTTAATATATTTTTTGAAAAGAAATATATACGTCTAGCTCAATATAGCATCCGTTTCCTTTGCAAAGATGAAAAGGAATGAGCTCCCACATGTAGAAATGCTCAAAAGCTATATATATATACAAATTGTAGGCCTACTAGGAGGATTATTTTAAATCTTCAGCTACAATTCTCAACTAGTTCCAGAACTAGAACGCCGAACTTTTCATAGTAGCCTTTTGGGGCGCGAGTGATCTCTATTGTGGGGCTTTGAAAATTCCAAACGAAAGGGTGAATTATTAGTGAAAAGCAACTGAATACAGCTATATTCCTTTTTCAGCTGATCTGCTTTTAAAATCTGCCTGATAATGCATGTGAGAAGTGGTTCAATCGACTTCCCTTAAACTTAATTGTAAAACTATAATTTAGAAATAAATAAGTGCGTTCTTCAGCGATTTTGATCCACGCTCTAGCCCGGAAAATAGGCGAAAAACGATCAGGAAACTTATTTTCAAAGCGCCATGTAAAACGTCATTTGAGATGCGACTGCGAAAATCCGCCTTTCCAAGTGAAATCGGGATGCCAAAGATTTTAGGTACATCGCTTGTCCTGGTCAGAGCCGGGGTACGCCTATTAGTCCTACATATCTTAGTGCAATTGAAATGGGTATTAACTTTTTTAAAGTAATTTATTTAAACCTTTTTTACACGCTTTTCCATTGCTGCAACTAACTCGACGAGCTCCAAATTAAAAATTATGTTAATAAAAACTGTACCGGGACGCGGCGCTTATTGCATTTGGTTTTGCATTTCTCTTCAATTCAATTTCTTTTGGATTGATGTTTGTTTATTTGGAAAGCTATTTTGTTGACTTTTAGCTTAATAGTTGGTTGTTTGTTTGTGTGTGTGTGTTTTGTCGTTTTTGTTATTAATTGGTTTATTTAATTAATTAATAATAACTTTAAACTGCTGCCTTCTCGACCAGCTTGAACCAGTGGCCGCACTCACAACGTTTCTGGTTGCCCTTCTGCAGCCACATCCACTGCACGTAGGTCTGATCCTCTTCGCCTGCGGGTTTGAAAATGCGTTGGGAAATTAGTTTTTCAATTGTTCTATTGCCATTTTCAGCCAGTCTACTCACAGATGCAGCCCACAATGCGGGCATCGAAGGCCGATGGAATCAAGTTGGGGTTCTCCTTGGTGCCAGCACCGCGCTTAAACACCTTCATGTCGAAGGGATTATCGTTGCCGGCCGCCTTCAGCAACAGCTCGCGCTTCTCAATGCCCGTGGCGTGCTCCAAGGGATCGTTCATCACTGCAGAAAGGAAAATGTTTATTAACTGATAAGCTCTGATAAGCGCGCAAATTATACCCTTGCAGATGGTATCACGTCAAGTGGGGGACACCATTCCGAGCTCATAAATTATATATACTCTCGAGCAGTACCAACGGCCGATTCGCTATAGTCAGGCTCAACTGTATCGCCCCTAACATATGTACAAAATCTTATAAACATCGGACTACTATATCATAGGCAGAATCGCTGGCCCGCGGCTAGGTGTTTCCTCTTGTTATGATAACAATCTATGTCAAAACCCCTTCACTGCACTGCGCCCCTGCTCGCGTTTACAGTTGCTGAATCAGCTGTGTGCGCATATTGGTTATATAAAAGCACACACAGCAAGCCTCTACTCCTTGCACACATTCACACTCACTGTCCAATTGCTGTTGTATTAGTTAGTGATTGGAAACTCCGCGAAGTGCGAATTACGCTGGCAAGCGTCACCTTTTGCTAAAACTCATAAAAACACAATTTTCACTGGGCGCAGCTATTACATAACCTCCCCCGCACACTTTTCACCATCTAAAATCTGGCTAAAACTTTGTTGCACTCAGAGCAGGCTCTATATTGCCTGCTTTATTTAGTATCCGCATTATGTAATACGGATTATGGAGGCGCCTTGGAAGCAACGGCTCGTCTGCCACACGCGCGGACAGGGCGGACGTGACGGCGAAGTTGCGCCGTTATGGGGCGCAATTCCTACTTACTTTTGCAGGTGCGAACGGAGTGGTATGTCACATTTTGGCGTGCGGCGGCACGCAGCGCCATGCGTCCACAGATTGATGCCATTATTGTTCGGTAAGCACAAAATTTGTTGGTCTTGGGAGCGTTGAACAGCCGAATTCTTTCGTAATTTTTCACAGCGAGACTCAGGGCAGGTGTTGGTTCATGAGTTGTGTACTTTAGCTCGGAACTGGTTCGATAATGCTGCACTATCGAACTATTTTGCCATAAAGTTCAACGAGCTGCGCAACTTTGAGCTAAGTGAAGTGGCTGCACGGCGTTGCCAGATATTTGGTAAAGGACAAATGCCGCCAAAATAGCTGTAATGTACCATAAATTAAATTGAGATGTAAATTTATTTAATTGGTGTTTGCAAAGCCTCATAATATGGATTTAAGTTTAAAAAAGTGTCAGAGTAATAAGTATTTGTTTGACAGAGCTATAATATAGCTTATAGTACTGCTTAAAAGAGTGCATGAGCTGCTGTTGCCCCGACAACCAAAAAGCGTACACAAAAATATTTATCAAAACAGAAAAATCAAATTATAAAAAGCGGAAACATGGCCAATAAGCCGACAATTTGCTTTGATATATCTAAAAATGAACGTTTTCAAATTACGGACAACTATAAGATGCTGCATCGCAAGCTGAAGGCGCATTGGAATGTGGAGCAGTAAGTGGAATTATCAGATATATTTAGTCGTAAAGTCCATATCTATTATTGCGATTCGCAGAAGCGATGTCGAGCTAAACCGGGAATGTTTAACGCGCTCAAAGATCTTTGTGCTGGCGGGACCACAAGATCGCTTCACCGAGGAGGAGTTCGATGTGCTCAAGGAGTACGTGGAACAGTCGGGCGGCAGCTTGTTGGTGCTGCTCGGCGAGGGCGGTGAACAGGAGTTCAATACCAATGTCAACTTCTTTCTGGAGCAATACGGCATCTACATCAACAACGACAACGTTGTGCGTCCGCATTACTACAAGAACTTCCATCCCAAAGAGTGCATTGTGGGCGGCGGCGTTGTCTGCGAGTCCATGTGGCGGCATCTGCTCAAGCTGGACATTGAGAAGGTGGACTACGATTTCAGCGATGAGAAGTACAAGATACACTTTCAGTATCCATACGGAGCTACCCTAAATGTCTCCGAGCCGGCTAATGTGCTGCTAACAACCGGACCCGTTGTCTACCCCTTCAATCGTCCACTGGCTGGTTACTTTAGCAATGCCAAGGGCGGCAAGATATTGGCCCTGGGCTCTGGCTATATATGGCATGATAAGTATCTGCAGGACAAGACCAACGATGCCATGCTGGAGTATATGCTGCAGCTGCTGGGCACTGCCGATATAAGCTATACGCATTTGGACTTTAATGATGTGGAGGTGCGTGACCTTTATACACCCTGCACCCATTGAAAGGGGTATCTTGATTTAGTTCAGATTTATGTAACAGGCAGCAGCACTTTTACGCTCGATCAGCATCAAGAGTTGAGAAGATTTAGCCGTGCCTCTGTCTGTCCTTCTGTCCGTCGAGCTATTTTACATCAGGCCTCACCCATTCACCCTCCGTTAAGGGAAAGAAGCAGAAATCTCCGACCTAATATAGTATATTCATGGCCAGCGTTAACAGGCGAGTTAATAAAGCCAGCTCGTCTGTTTCTATGCGGTAAGTAGCCTTTCCTTCTCTTTTTGTTTAGGCATATTTCTGAGGTTAAAGGAGATAAATACGCAACCTTATTAATTTATTTGCATACCTCCGCGTTTCTACTATTTCAATACCGTCTAATAAACTGAAAATGTCATGGAACGCGTAGTATAAATACAGATGTTTATTAAGAATAAATGTTGAATAGGATGAATAACAGACGTGTTTACAGAGTATCTCCTAGTCGGGCACAACCGACTAGAGCAACCTTAATATTTTACTACTTATTCCATTCTATTTCCAACAGCTTAACGACAACAAGCACTTCACGGATTTGGCTTTCCTGGCCGATATGCCCAAGGCCTGTCTGATCGACTCCATTGGCACGGAGATGCCCGCGGATTTTAAGCAAATGTTCGACATGTCCCTCTGCTCGCTGAGCAATCGTTTGCTGAAGGATGTGATCGATACGTACGAGCAGTTGCATGTGAATTACGAACCGTTGCGCATTATTAAGCCGCAATTTGAGATACCGCTGCCGGCGCTGCAATTGGCCACATTTCCGCCAATTTTCAGTGAGCCGCCCGCGCCGCCGCTGGAGCTGTTCGATCTGGATGAGACCTTCAGTCCGGCACGCACACAGCTAGCGCAAATAACCGGGCAGTGCCTGCAGGCGCTGCAGTCGAAGGAGTCGTCTCGGCGTGCGCCCAATCAGCGCGAGCTCGAGAACTATGTGAAGGAGTGTGCGCGCATCACGGCCATCATCAGGGAGCAGCAAGAGATGCCCGCCCGCGAAATACTCAACATTGTGGCGCGACAGATAACCAGCTATGCGCCCTATGCGGAGGACTAGACTCTAGCAGGTGATCCAATTACCACTAACAGCCAGCACTGCGCATTCCTTTCAAGCTTTTGCTTTTCTTTTCTTTTGCATATACTCTTGCGGCGGGTTAGTTATAAATGTGCCACGTAATGGACAACAGATATTTATAAGCAAATCCAGTATATATATACATATATATATATTCCTGTTCTAGTGTTCAAATCCAAGTCGTTATAGTAATGTTCGTCTGTCCGTTGCCTTCTTTGATTTGATTTAATTTGATATTTTTACAGTCAGTATTTGTCGTGGTCGGACTATAGCTGGGATAACTATAAGATATAGCTCCGATAGGAACAATCCGTCGAATCATCCGATTTTTATACATATCTACCAAAACTGGCAAATTGAAGCTTTATTATTAATTGGGACTTTATACTACATTTTGTAATGCTGTAAGATATATCTGCCATAGGAACGATCAGTCAAATTAACTGCATTTTAGAGATCTTATGAAACTTGGATATTTGTAGCTTTATCGTGTTTTTGACTTAATATTCAGGTCTTATCAACACTGGAACTCTGTAGGATATATCTGGTATAGGAGGATTGCTCCGAGGATTGGTCGAGCAGTCATATTTTTGTTTTATAAGATATTCCGATGAAACACACGCGCGTACTAGTATTCGATTTCTCTTAAAATATGTAGACAATTTTATAAGTATCAGAATAATATAAAAGTAAGTTTCTATAAGAACAACACTTTGTTAATCAAAAAATTCTAACAAAACTCAGCTTTTACTAGCATTTTTACGCTCATAATTTATAGACAATATTAAAACAACATCTGGGTACTAACTCATATATAGCTCACATAGGAAGAAACGATAAAGTTTAGTTTTAAAATATTTTGTTAGCTGGCTCGAGGTTTTCTTAAAAAAACTTCTTTTGTTTTTTGAGATATGCCAAACATCGATATGCCGACATCCCGACCAGATGGATATTCCGACTAAAATATGCACTATCTCCCTTAAGAATCAAACTACTATATCATATAGCTGCTATAGGAACAATCGATTAAAAATTAGTTCTCATGTGAACTACTTTTTTGTTTCTCAAGATATTTCACAGTAATTCAGCTTTCTATGCTGCTTATATATAAGCAATATCTTTTAGTAACGGGGTACTATATTATATGTTATTATATATTTGCAAGAGTATTCAATCTTCGGCAAACCGAATATAAATGTTCTTTCATATTTTATTTTTTTGTTCGCAAAATCAGCAAATTTAGCATTTTGTTTGAGGGTTTTTTGAGCAAATTGTAAACCAAGTCCGTTTTATGTAAACATGTTGGCGACTCGTATTCAAACATGGCCGGCGTTCTCCCGACTCCCGGCGCCCGACGCCCTAGCTCCGGCACCCTTGCTCCGACTCCCTTGCCAGCCGCCTCCCGCCGCCGAGTCTTGAGTTTGTTAAAACTTTGCTTCAATTACGCAGAAGGTGCAGAACATTTTGGTCCGTAACACAAAACCTGTGGGAAGTAAAGCTATATACTTACCAGATATATAACCAAAAATTGTTTACTGCAAATGCGCTCTTCACACAATTAATTATTTTTATTAATATTTTCCACAAATGAGCGAGTCCACGACACTTTGGGAGAGGGAGGGGAGTGGGGGGATTGATATTCCCTAGGGGCGGCAGCCTAGTTGCTCTCAGTTTTTAGGTGTCGACAATTTGTTTTCCTTTTAGGGGAGCGCATGCCGGCTGCTAATTGTGTTGTGGGGTCGCCCAGGCGGAGGGGGTGTGTGTGTGTGTGTGTGAAACCGCTAGTTAATGCTTGTCACAACAAATGCCTGTCATCAATCGCAGCTCCTCGATGCTCTGGGGAGCTGCGACACTCAAATAAAAAGCAACTGTTTGCCCGAGAATATCCTGTAAAAAAAAGAAAATCATTCCAACAACTGACGCTTGTAAATTTGATTCTAATTTTTATCACGAGAGTCGCATAAAAGGAACTCCCAGTCCAAATTCTCTGGAGCTTACGAGCAGCTGCAGCTGCAGCTGAAAGCATTTGCTGAACTTCACGTCCTTGTTCGAATTTCGTTTAAGACTAAGTTTTGTATGTTTAAAAATTAATGCAATTTTTTATATGCTTGCTGGGACTTTTTATACCCTTGTAGAGGGTATTATCTCCGAATCCATGAAGTATATATATGTATATTCTAGAAGAGCTTCAACAGCTGAGTTGATATAGCCATGTCCGTCTGTCCGTCTGATCTGCAATTAGAATCCTCTTGGCGAAAGCTGATCTATATCGGTCTGCTTTATCGTATAACTCTTAAAGGAACAATACAGTCGGGGAAATCAAGATTTTGTATAAAAATCTATTTCTTAATTTAAGATATTATGACTAGCAAATAAAGTTATCTTAGCGAATGTGTTCTCTATGTTCTTAAAATGGAAATGGATTGTTTTCCTTAGAGATATAGCATATGGTAGATGATTCTCTATATATCATTCGCATCGCTTGGGTGACTTGTCCGTTCTGTTTTATTCCGGTCCATTTTTCTACGTTTCTTTAGCTGCGTCCATGACCCACGAACCATTGCCAACTGCTGACCGCTCGGGTGGTCAATCGATCAATATTGAAAATTCCCACAAGCGTTTGCCGGACACCATGCTCTGTTCCATGTGGTGGCCATTTTGTTGACCACCAAATGTTGTTGTTCCTCTAGACGGGTAGCACTATGGGGGCACGAGGTGTGCGTGTGTGTGGGGGCAATAAGCTGCAAGTAAAAAAGTAAAAAGAGGTTATATTGAAATACGATCTGAGGCAAGTAGGAAGTTACCTTGAGTGCATTTCTATATATTGACAGTGACAATGCTGTCCAAGAGAACGTTGTCGTCGTTGTTGTTCTTGTTGTTGTTGTTGTCTTTGGTTGTTCATTCATGGTTTCAGTCGGGCAAACAGGTTCACAGGCTCAACAGAAGCCGCACAAGTTTTTCCTCAGCCTTCTCCATATGCTGTCGCTTCTTTCACTTTAACGAAAGCAAAAAAAAAAAAGTAAAATAAAAATAATTCCAAATGCAACTCGCAGACCATTTCCCAAAGTCTGAACAAACTCACAACAGCTGTGTTTGTTGTTGTTGCTGCTGTTGCCTTTGCACTTCCGCCCCGGCTCAGCTCTGGGCCCCTACCCCCGCCCCTGCCCCTGTCTGGCCGTGCAAATATCATCAAAAGTCAAGAGGTTTGTTTGACTTTTAGTGGCATCCTTTTAGCAGCTGTGATTGCTCACTGTCTCAGCCTGGCCAGCTAATACACTTACTTGAAATGAAAAAAAATGTGTCGCACATTTGTCACCTGTGCTGAAAATTCCGGGAAAACCCTCATGAAAAGCGTGCCTTGGCGGTGGTCGCTGCCCCGCCCCGCCCAGCACATTGATGCGGGTCGCTGGCGAACATCGTTTTAATTAAATTACACCACCGAAACGTGCGACATCACAATAATTTTCATTGTCAAAAAATGGGCATCATAAAAAACAACACGTCTGCATTGTATACCCCACAGATACAACAACAGCAACAACAACAACTACCATGGCAAGCAACAACAAGCTGTGGAAGCAAAAGAGCTAGAGGAAGACAGACACACACACGCTAACACTTGGAAAGAATGTAACAATCAATTAACAGGTAAGCGGTCTAGAGCTGCAGCAGCATCCAGCTTAAATATTTCATTTAACCCTTATGCGTTCTTTGGGGTATCAATTTGAGATATGCACAAAATATGTCAACAATCAAATCAATTCTTTATTCTATTCCATCAACTACTAGTCCTATAAAATCCGTTTAAATAAACCAATATTCATAGCAAATGAAGAATCTTTAGTTTCTACAGTACCTGAGTTCTATGTATTTCGTAAAGTGTTAGACCTTTTTTCACAAAGATTAGAACAGTTTGTTTAAGACGGAACAATGAAAAAATTATATTATGTTGGATTCTCCAGGAGTCGAAACACTATTAGCATTAGCAAACCATTAGATTCAAATTCAGTTTATCAAAATTTAGTTTATCTAATCTAAACATTTTTTTAATACTCAATCTTAGTTATAACTTACATAACAAGAGGTTACTTTCCTGATGAATTTAGTTTCTCAAATCCTACGACTTGGTCTAAGAGCTTGTAATATAAATTATGGATATATCCATTAGCTTTTAGGAATCGTCGTTTCTTAAAATTGCTTATGAGATTCTTAAGCAATACTCAAAAACGAAGGCTCTTCTCTGAAAAGAAAAACCTAAAAATATATCAGCTTTTACAAATTTATAAGTAAACCTCACAATTGATAACTTTCACTGAGCTGAATCCAAAAAAAATTAATTTCGTTGCCTAGTGTTGATTGACTGACGCAGTCAATCAATCAATCAATCGGTCGATCAAATTATTGTTTATTTAGTAAATAGATGAGGCTTAAAAGTTGTAAATTTATTTTAAATCTAGAAATGTTCGAATATATATATTTCAGCACTTCAATTATATATTAGACTTCTGTCTACACCCCCTTGCCCACACAAGGGTTAACCCTCAAGGCGTCGATCCAAGTCTCGCTTGGCACGCTTCGTTGTCAACTTTGGGCTGTTGTTGTTGTTTTAGTTTTGGTTGTCTCTGGGAACATTGGAACCCCATTATTGAAATAGAAAGCTTGTCTTTTATGCTATTGTCATTGCTATTAATTTGTCATAGGGCCGCGTTGTACAACAGGCTCTAATGATGCATGTAAATGCAAAACAAATCACATGCCCCGGCCAGTATAAACCCCGCAGCCAAGTTCCAAGCAGGCAGCTAAACTGCAACATTTGGAGAAAAAAAATTTAAAGCGCGTGTACAATTTAAAATGAAATAAAATCAGACTGTGGCAGCTTTCGAAATTTTATGAGCATGTTGCGCTTATTAGCCGCACTGCGAGAAATGGCGACAGGCCACAACAGCAACAACAACAGCAACAGCAACAACAACAGCAACAACAACAAATGAACAACAACAAGCACGACATGCATTTCCACGGCTAATTTTTCACGCACGCTCCAAGCCCGTCTGCCCCTCCTTCGATGGCAACAGCGACAGCGAGCGACAGCTCCTGGCCAGGCTTCAGCTTGGTGTATGCCCTTCAAAATGCTTGAAAAGGGGTATAATGACATTTTGACATTGTTTGACAAACAATGCTTTAAGTTATAGAGTAACTGCTAGTTTGCTAGCTTTGTTCATATATTTTATCCAGCGCAACAATTGATTATGCTGATCAGTAAGCATAGTCAACAGCAAGTTGTTCACGTTAATTTATAATTTGGCTATAAAGCCAAAATTATTTGTGGCAAATTACAGAAAAAATTCATTTAATACATATATACAATACGCCTCTTAAAAGATCTAGATATATTTATATCTCTTACAAAATCTCAAAACCTTTTTTTTTGGTTTGGAAAAGAATAATTTGAAATTTATACTATACTTGAAAAAAAACTCGTAAAAATTACGTTTTGGTTTGGAAAAGCATAATTTTAAATACATCGTGTTTCAAATGCAATTCTTATATATACTCTTTTCTTAAAGGATTTATTAATGCTATTTTCTTGACAGCTACTGGAAAAATGAAAAAAATATATATATATATATTAATCCAATTTATCTAGATGATTAGTATTAGAAATTAATTGAATATTTTGAAAATTCAGTAATTCAGATTTGTTGCCTCTTCAACATTTTGATAAAATTTTATTCACATTGAAAATAGATATTCCTGGCGATTCTCCGTTGACTCCCTTTTGCATTATCCGATATCTGAAATTGTTTACCCGCATATTTTTTAGCCAATTTACTCTTTTGAATCGTTTTTGCATAATTATATGTATATGATTTGATTACCTATATATATTTTTTATCAATTTTACTTTATTAAAATCCTTTTGCAGATTCCTATCCGATATCTGAAATTTTGTACCCATATAATCTATAATTTCAGTATTTCGCATATAAAGTCTATTTGCTTGCCAGTTACCATTAAGTAAAAAAAATTATCTAGCCTTATCTCATCTCATTTTAGCGTATTTCTGAATTTGGTAATTCGTATTTGTGGCTTGAACCTCTTAAAAGAAAAGTATTTGCCGATCAGTTTATCTAATCAGATTTCCGAAATATTATTGCATTAGAGTATTTGGGAATTCGTTAATGCGCATTTAGTTAATCGGCGCGTTGTTGTTGCTTTTGTTTTTGGCACAACGACACGCACGAGAAATTCCAAGAGATAAGCATCGTGTACGACAAGGTGTATTATGGACCCCGGTCCGATACGCAGTCGAGTGCCATACTGTTGACTCTGTTAAATTGCCAATATTTATGGTTTTGCCCGTTGAGGCTGACTTGTTAAATGGGTGTTCCAGCCAGGCAGCAGCCAGCCAGGAGGCAGCCAGGAGGCAGCTCCAAAATGGGTAGCTGCGAAGCGTTTAAATACAAAACGTGTTGGCCCGATAAGCACGCAACCAAGTCGTGTCGTTTCGTGTCGTGTCGTGTCGTGCAGTGCCTCACGTCGTGCCATCAATTTTGACATGTGCTTGTCAAAGCTTTTACAGCACGCCGCCATTTTGTTGGTCACCTTTGTTGCGAGCACTCTCTCTCGCTCTCTCGCACGCTGCGCTGCGCTGCTGCCGTCTCTTTCGCGCTGTGCAGCAAAGCATTAAAGCAGAAATGCGCAATGTCGTCAACGCGCGTTGCCTGAAGCTATAAAAATGTCAAAACATGCTACAAATAAAGCAGAATTATAAAGAAATCTAGCGAGAAAAAAAGCGAATACGATTTATTAAAATGATATACTTATAAGAAAAAATCTGTGACGCTTTGCGAACAAACCAGTCGAGCAGACGACAACAAAATCACACTGCCAACGAGTTGGGCATTCTGACTTAGACAGGCGCTTTGCAGCTGAGACTGCATTATCATGCTTAAAGATAGTGCATTTACGAGAAGTTAAAACTTGTTTCAATTTGCTTTTTGTGGTTTTTAATTAAAGCTTTTTTCTTTATTATATTTAATTTATATTCAAGCTACACTTGACACCTAACTTGGAATAAATTTGTTGTCACCTTAAATTGAATTTTTCTTTAATTAATCGCAAATTAACTTAAAATTGCCTCACTCTTATTGCTCTCTTCTCTCTTATTCTTTCTTACTTTCTTTCTATTTCGCTCTCTCTCTCTCTCTGCTTTATTCCTCATAAAAAATAGTTTGAAACAAGAGAAACCCCTGGTCCAATGACTGCATAAATTTATGCTAGATCAGAGAATTTATTTTCTTACCAAACTTAAATGGATTTCTTTTAATATTTTTTCTATGTAATTCCGAATTATTTGTTGTCCACTTTACATTTATAAGGATAGCCTATTTACTGAACGTATAAAAGTGAAAGTGAAAGAAACACCAAACCGATTATTTATGCTATAGAACGCGTCAGCTTCTGAGACTTAGATTAAAGTTTACAGCTTTTGAGAACTTTCAGAATATTTTAAAATGGGTTTCAAGAGAATCACGTCAACAAATTTCGTTTGAGAGTCCTCGATTCTTCTTTTTTAGCTCACAAAAATATTTTGGTGCATTTGTTACATATATTTATACTATTTTCTTATTTGTTGTATTATTATGTTTTTTTATCTCCTTGATTATGTTTCTTTTAATAACCATGCTTTTTTATATTTGGTATAAAGTAGGAGAGTGAATGATTAACTATTTGTTGTTTAATATTTTGACAATTTTTGTTGCTAAATTTCATTTAGTTAGAGTATCTGCCTGTGTCAAACATTAACTTGACTGTATTTTCTTTACAATAAGAAGAAAAAATTGCTAGTTTTATTTAATATTTTTTTTGCATTAGTTTGCTGAGCATCTTTTGTGTGGCTGTTGTCGCTGTTGTTGTGACCAGGTTGATACGTTGCTGATCTTGCGGTTTTTATGGTTTTTTTTTTTGCCGCTCCAAAGAAAAGGCATTGCAAATCTGAAGCGTTGCACAGAGTTTTTCAGCGTTTTCAACATTTTCGAAACAAGATTTGAAATTTTAGATGTGTGAGATGATTTGCCAGGCCCTTTGAGGCCCTTATCTGGCAGCAGGCCCTTATCCCCGCTCAAGATGTCATAAGTCACACCTGATCATTTGTCAGTTTTACACAGGTTAAGAAACGCCCACATAGTGGTGCGAGGGCGGTTCGGGCCGGGGCGGTGTCTAGTTGGGCCGTAAATCAAAGCGCTGCATGTTAAATTTGACGCTCATAAAAATGCAAATCGTATGCATAAAATATAATTTTTATAACTTAATTAACCGAGCGCCGCGTATAGAGTCTGGGGCGCATGCTGCGCTTTGGGGCTTGTGGCTCATTTAACTGGCGCCAAGTTTCAAATTGATTTTGGCCAGCTGGGCGACATTTTTACATGACAAAGACTTGGCCGTTGCCGCTGCCGTGGCCGGGGCGGGGCGGCCAATTGGCCAGTCGATTTGGCCCCCGATAAGCGAACGTGCGCCCGTCTGCTTATCAAATGACCAGCCGCTCAGACAGTCAGTCAGTCAGCCGAAGGCTTGTGGCCGCGGCTGACACTGACTGCATCACAAGTCGCAGCTCGGCGACACTTCTCGGAAGGCCCATCAGAGAT